TGGGAGATGAGATTCCTGTGAAGAGGAAAAACCACCATCTTTTTCCGTAAACTCTTATCTTTCTTCTGTTGACCGAAAACCTTTCCTCTTCTCCCCCGTTAAATCCCAGTCCAACCAAATGGGGGTTCATTCTGTGACCACTCCCTTATTCTGTCCTTTAGTCTTTCCCTCCTCTCACATCAGGTGCTTGTAGAATGAAGAGGCTGAGGCCTGGTTGGGAGAGTGTCAAGAGGGAGGAGAACAGAGAGAGAAAAAGGAGGAGAGAGGTATAGGAGACCAGTGGGGAGAAGAGTGGAGCAGACACTGCCAGCCCAGACAGACAGCCTGATTTTGCCTTCCCTTTCCCTTTCTCTCCCTTAGGATCTGCAGAGATGGTGGTTTTAGAGAGAGATGCTGGCTGAAGGCCTGGACACATTGATCTTTGTAGGAGATGTCCTTAGGGCCTCATGCCCAGTGGGAGCTCCAGGCCGGGCATAGTCCTTCACCTCTTTTCTTTGTTTGTTTTTTAGATTTCTTTTTTTAATTGGGGAATTGTGGGAGGAGAACAGTATTGGGGAATTGGGGAAGGGGACCAGCCAAGTTGCTGTTCTTCAGTCTTCATTGTGGAGGGCCCCAGTCGCCATCTGGCTTCCCGCCGGCAGCTCGTGGCCTCTAAGCTCAAGGTGCTGTGTTCAATCTTAGTTGCGGGTGGGCGTAGCCACCATCCCATGAGGGAGTTGAATGAGCAGCCTTGTTAAGAGCTCACGCTCTATCCACTGAGCCATCCGGGCAGCAGCTCAGCTCAAGGTGCCAAGTTCAGTCTTAGTTGTGGGTGGGCATAGCCCACCATGGAACAGGCAATCTTGTTGTTACACCAGCTGAGCCACCCTGCCACCTGTTGGCAGCTCAACGACAGCTCAGCTCGGGTGCAGCGTCACTGGCCCATGTGGGAATCGAACTGGCGGCCCTGTTACTCAGAGCTCGTGCTCTTAAGCCAGCTCTTAACCAACTGAGCCACTTGGCCAGCCCAGTCCTTCACCTCTTGTCTGGAGAACTGGTGGTGGTGAGGCTGTCACAGGTTTTTGATAAAGTCAGTGAGGCCCAGACAAATCCAGCCCTGACTCTGGCACTGTTCTGTGCTTGACCCTTTCCAAGGGGGGAGGTCCTATGTCTTGGCCCAGAGCACAGCAGCCATCTGGCCTCAGTCCTTTTCTACCTGGTACTGCCCCAGTTGGCTGCAGCTTAGCTGGCCAACCAGGTTAGCAGCAGCCCCCTTCCCTGAGTAGGGTGACGCTAGGGAGGTAATGAGGGCAGATGGCTGATAAGACTTCACGGAAGGAACAGCAGAGCGGGCACCTCTGCTCTGTGCATCCTCTCATTAAGCCACCTTCAATATGATGCAAGTAGACCAATGAGTTAGGCTTAACCACTCAGGAATTTGGGTGGCTTGGTGCAGACCCTTTGCTCAAAGCAACTTTGGTGGATAGATTGTGGGGCCTGGGGGTGTTGAGAGGGATGTATATGTCCTCCCACCCCTTGTCCTAGCATCTCTGGTCTCTTCTAGGTGAGCAAAAAGAGTCAAATAGGCCAGGCTCTGGGTGTGGAGTTTTTCTGCACTCTCCACCTGGTACTCACCATGTGTTGTGACTCACCAGCAGGGACAGGAGGCAGGTGGGCCAAGCAGCCTGGTGGTGGGCCTCTCAGTGACTCCTGGAGCACTAGCATCAGTAAGAACCCCACGTATACCAAGCAGAGGCTTGGGGAAGGCTGAGTTCTACTCCTTAAGAGAAACACTGTGTTGTTTTTTTCTTTAAAGAGGCTAGTTTAATAGAAAACATTACATATGCTAATTATATGTAAATAAATGCAAACACTGAAATGAGTTTTGGGTTTTGGTGGTTTTTTTGGACGGGGGTGGGGGAGCAGTGTGTTTTTTCCAGGACCCATCAGCTCCAAGTCAAGTAGTTGTTTCAATCTAGTTGTGGAGGGCGCAGCTCAGTGGCCCATGTGGGGATTGAACTGGCAACCTTAGTGTTATGAGCCTGCGCTCTAACCACCTGAGCTAACCGGCCACCCCTCAAGTGAGCTTGAGAGCTCATCTCTAGTTTGAAAGTTTTGCATTCTCGTAAGTAGAGAGGCTGGTGTGAAAGGAAGTGGGCTGGGGTTCAGTTCTCCACGGGATTCTTGTGAAATTTGATGAGGAATAAAGGGGAGAGGTTGGTAGCTTCAAATAAGGAAATCTAACCCTTTTATTTGGTGTCTACAAGAACAAATTAGCTGCCCTTTGCCCTCATCCCTTATTATAAGAGGCTGTAGGGCTGGTGGTTAGAGATAATCCCTTTCTGTAAATAAAACCCTCATCGAATGACTATTTATTACCGTATTTGCCGGCGTATAAGACGACCCCCTAACATTTCCACTCAAAATACAGAGTTTGTTATATACTCGCCGTATAAGACTACCCCCTCTT